CCCCCTTGCTTGTCCCTTTCTGCTCTTAACACTATCAGACTGTGGGTTTTCCAAATCTTTCCAGTCTATTTCCCTTTGCTTCTGAGCTGTGCCTAAGTGGCCAAAATTAACCACGTGGCAGTCTGAATGGCTTGATGCTTAGATCTCTCTCCTGATGAAGATTCTTCACTCTTCAGTTTGGCTTAGGGCATGCACATAGTGCAGTCAAGGTCTTTGTTATTGTGCCACCAGGATGGCCCTTCTCCTGATTTCCAATAAGATATTCCTCATTTCTATTCTGGACTTCATCAGCATGGCCACTGCTGTCTGCACTCTAGTCTCAACCAGCACACTAATTTCTAAGTTCTAAGCTTTCTCTAGTTTATCTGTTCTCTTTTTTTGAAACAGGGTCTTCATGTAGCTCCAGCAGGCCTGGACCTTGCTGTATAGATCAGACTGACCTCAATCTCACAGAGATCCACCTGCCTCTGCCTCCTGAAGCTGAGCCCCACCACACCTGGCAGCTTTTTGTAGCCAAGAATCAATTTGGGGCTACTGGGCACTTGAAGTGGGAGCAGGAACTAGTTTCTTCATTTGGAAAATAAGGGACAAAGATCCATCCAGGGCCTGACGAAGCATACCTACCCCATCCTGGGGTTTTAAATTTGGTAGTTCTGGGTAAAATCATGGAATCTGCATTTCTAGCAAACTCCCAGGTTTATAGCAACACTGAGACCCATGACTCACAGACAGCAATATTCTAGCTACAATGTCACAAGGTACAAAGACTAAGAGATCTCTCTAGTGCCTTTTTTTTTTTTTAGACAGTCACATGTATTCCAGGCTGGCCTTGAACTTGTTATGTAGCTGAGGATGACCTTAAACTCCTGCCTCCACTTCCTAAATGCTGAGATTAAAGGCGTGTGCCATTACACCAGATTTATTTGGTAATGCAAGTAGAACCTCAGGCATCCCTGGCCCTCTAGTTTCTTTTTCTTTTTCTTTTTCTTTTTTTTTTGGTTTATTTTTAATTATGTGTCTGTGTGTGGATATGTGAATGTGAATGCAGGTGCCCTCAGAGGCCAGAAGTGCATATTGGATTCCTAGAGCAGGAATTATGGGCACTAGTGAGCTGCCCAACATGAGTGCTGGGGCTCAAACGTGGGTCCTCTGCAAGAGTAGCAGGTGCTCTTAACCAATGTGTCATCTCTCCAGCCACTCTAGCGTCTTTCATAGGGCATTAGTCCCATGAGAGGGTTTCCTTTGTGGCCTAGTCACCTCCCAAAGAGCCCACTTCTAAATACCAGTTCATTGGTAATTAGATCTCAACACAAGAATTTTAGAAAGGAACACAAATATTCAATCCATGGTGAACAGTACAAAGGATTCAATGGCTGAAATTCTGTTTGAGCCCCCATGTAGCCCTGAGCAAGTAAATATCTCAGAGACTCTGTACCTTCATGTATTATTCTAGAAACATCTGCTTTATAGGAAGATGTATGAAAAAGCCCTAAAGTCAGTTGTTATTTTCCTTCCTCCTCTGTGCTACCAGTGTGTTAGACATACTATAATTTTATTCTTTAAAATTTTTTTTATTATTTATTATTTTTATGTGTATGAATGTATTGTCTGCATGTGTATATAAGTACATCTATGTTATACAGTGCCTGCAGAAGTCAGAAGAGGGCATTGAGTCCCCTGGAACCAGAGCTACAGACAGTTGTTAGCTGCCATGTGGCTGCTGGTATTTGAACACAGGTCCTCTGCAGGAGCATTATTTATTATTTTTATGTGTATGTGTGTATTGCCTGCATGTAGGTAAGTGCACCCATGTCATGCAATGGCCAAGGAGGACAGAAGAGGATGTCAGATCTCCCAGAACTGGAGTTACGGACAGTTGTTAGCTGCCATGTAGGTTCTGGGATTCAAACCCTGGTCTTCTGCAAGAATAGCCAGTGTTCTTAACCACCAAGCCATCTCTCCAGCCCCATAATTTTATTCTTATGCTTTCTGGTTATGTGTCTTCACAGGCTTGGAGGTTCTAGCCCTTGAAGTAAGTCCTTGTTGGATTTAAGTTTCCCTTTGTCTTCTGCCCTACTACCAACTACTCAATAGATGCTCAAAAATGTGTGGGAATGATTCAGCCTCATAACAGGTTTTCTGGGAGTGTGGGAAAGCTGTACCACTCCCCTCCCTCTCCCCAAGTTGGCGATTAAGCTCTTTCCCATCATAAACCACAGCCCTTCTTTATCAGTCTACCTCTTTTTGACTCTAAAAATTATAGTTGCTCTTCAAAAATCTGCTCAAGGATCTGAATACCAAGTGGAGTCAAACCATGTCTCTACCCCTGTCTAACCAGCACCTTGGGTAGTTCTCCTAATCTAACTCATCTTCACTTTTGTGATCTGAAAATGGAAGAAAATTACCTACCCTTCAGGGATTAGTGATGGTGGTTTGATTTTGTTTTGGTTGTTCGAAACAGGGTCTCCCTATGTAGCCCAGGCTGGCCTTGAACTTCTGGCAGTGCTGTTTCAGCCTCCAGAAGTGCTGGTATTACAGGCATACACTTTTGAACTTGGCAATACTCTTCAGTTTTGATATGAGATTTACATGAGCAAAGGTATACAGAGTGCCAGATATCTAGCAGATGCTAATAAAAGGTACCATAAAACTAGCCATGTCTAGTCTCCTGCACTCACTCTCTTGAGCTCTCCTGACTGCTCTGAGAAATTCTCCACTCTGCACAAATGCAGTCTTCTAGCGGTAACCTCCCTAGGGTTATATTGTATTCCAACCAATCCTCTGGCAAACATTTACTGAGCACTTACTATATGCCACGCTCTGTGCTAGATGCCGGAATTACAATGACCAGAGAAGACCTCTGACCTAGAAGTGTATAGTCTCATAGAAACCAAATTCCTTGGAAAGTCTTTCCTGCCTTCACTAAGACCCTGGTCTAACTCCTGCAGCTTGTTGCTTCCCTTCAGCCCTAAATTTCCACAATATATTGTCTTTTAATTCAAACATGTAAGAGCTAGAGAGACAGCTCAGCAGTTAAGAGCACTTGCTGCCTTTCTAGAGGGCAGGTGTTCCATTCCTAGCACCCACGTCTGGTGGTTCACATAGCCTCTAGCCTCCAAGGGCACTACACTTGAATGCACACAATTATCAATAATAAAAATAAATATTTTTCAGATTTGAGTGCCTACATTTATGTATGTGCACAACATGCACGCCTAGTGCTCCAATCCCCTAGAACTAAAATTACAGACAGTTGTGAGCTGCCACATGGGTTGCTGGGAACCAAACTCAGGTCTTCTGCAAGAGGAACAAGTGCTCCTAATCACTAAGCCATCTCTCCAGTCCAAATATATATCTTAAAAAAAAAAAAATCTGGGCCAGGCATGGTGGCGCACACCTTTAATCCCAGCGCTTGGGAAGCAGAGGCAGGCGGATCTCTGTGAGTTCAAGGCCAGCCTGGTCTACATAGTGAGTTCCAGGACAGCTGGGGCTACAGGGAGACCCTGTCTCAAAAAGACCAAAAAAAAAAAAAAAAAAAAATCTCCTTGTCCCTTTTTAAGTAATCTACATATTAACTCATTTGATCTTCACAGTAACCTTATGAAGATCTGTCATTCTCATTTTACAAACGATGAAGCTAAGTCACGGAGATATTTGATTTTGTAACTGGCTAAAGATATTTTACATAAAGGAAGCCAAGATTGGAAAACACAACTTATAGTTTCAGCTTAAAATGTTTTTTTATCTTTCTCCACCACCAGAATTTGAGATCCAGTCTGTCATATTCAAATAAATATCTTCCTGAGAACAGTTCAATATTTGACACAATAAGAAATCAAAAACTGCTTCATCCAGACCTGGAGGCACACACCTTTAATCCCAGCACTTGGGAGGCAGAGAGTGGCGGATCTCTGTGAGATTGAGGCCAGCCTGATCTACAAAGTGAGTTCCAGGACAGCTGGGGTTACAGCGAGACCCCATCTGTCTGCACCCCCTCCCCCAAAAAAAGAATGCTTCGAGCAGCTGAAGAAATGGCTCACTGGTTAAGAGCACTGGCTGCTCTCGTGGAGGGCCTGGTTTCAGTTTCCAACACCTACACAACGGCTAACAACCCTCCCTAACTCCAGCTCCAGGGGACTCAACCCCCTCTTCTGGCCTCCATGGGCATTGCATGCCTGTGGTGCACTTACATACAGGCAGGAAAAACACTCATACACATAAAATAAAATCATTTTTTTATGTTGGGTGTGGTGGCACATACCTTTAATTCCAGCCCTCGGGAGGTAGAGGCAGGTTATCTCACAGAGATCGAGGCCAGCCTGGTCTACATAGCGAGTTCCAAGTTAGCTGGGGGCTACAGGGAGACCCTGTCTCAAAAAACATCAACAAAACACAACAAAAACTAGCTTCAGCAAATTAAGAAAAAGAATCCCACAATGGTTGCTTTGGTTTGGCATTTTGAAACAAAATCTTAAAGCTAGCCTCTGACTTGAGCTCATGATCTTCTTGCCTGGTCCTCCGTAGAGCTGGGATTAGAGGCTTGTGCCATCAGGCTCCTCTCCAGGATGGTTTATCAGCATGCATAAGCATCATTAGGTGCGTGGTAGGGAGCCCAAGAGTCCATCAACCATCATCTTTGAGCGCTTCGAACTTGCAGTCTACAACAGTAGGAATTCCGAGGTGCCGGCTGCCTTTCCCCCTCGCCGACTCCCTTCCTCGGAATTTCTGCTCCTTCTCTTTCTTTCCCCTCGCCATCCTCTCCGAAGATCCAACCTCCGGGATACCCTAGCGCCGGCTAAAGGCGAGGAACAGTATGCGCGGGAGCGCAAGGCAGCGGGCGGTGCGCATGCGCAGAGGGGCGGCGCACGGCGCTTGCGGAAAGATGGCGGGCCCGGGGTCCTGAGCGCCACTACGGATCACCCTGTTCCCCTTAGCTCCTGAGGAGGGAGGACCGGGCGGTGGGGTGGCTGGGGCGGTGTGGCGGTAGGACGGTAGGAGGCGGGCGGTGGCGGGGGGCGGGGCGGCGTAGCCGGACAGGGCCGCCGGGCCGGGGGAGCCGATCGGGCAGGAGAAGGCGGGAGGACGCGAGGGGCGCGAGGGGCGCGCGGCAGCATGAGTCAGCAGCGGCCGGCGCGGAAGCTGCCCAACCTGCTGGTCGACCCGGCGCAGGAGACGGTCCGCCGCCGCTGCCGGGACCCCATTAATGTGGAGAGCCTGCTGGTGAGCGCGGGACAAGGGGCGGAGGGAGGGGCTGCGGACCGTGACTGCCGCCTCCAGACGACCGTTCTCCCCCGGCCCCGGGGGCGGTCACGTGCTGCGACGGGCGCTCCTGCCTTCCCGCCTTCCCGCGGCACCTGCCGTTCTTCCCAGTGTCCGCGGGGAAGATGCTCCTCTGTGCACTGCAGAGCCCCGGGCCTCGACCGAGCCCCCTGCATCCTGTTAGCGCCTTCCACCTCTCAGCCCCACTGAACTGCAACAGGTTCAGATCTTGCTCACGACTCACATTTCCCTCCCAGTAGCTCCCCGTCCTTAAACTGTCATCTGTGTTGCTTTTGAGCATGCTTTGTTACAGCCATTTATTTTGTGTGTATGTGTGGGTGTGTAGGTGACATGTAGAGATCGGAGGACAACTTGCTGGAGTCTGTTCTTTCTTCCACGGAGTAGGTCTGAGTGAGCTCAGGTCGAATTTGTAAGGCGTGGCAGCAGGTTCATTAACCCGCTGATATCTCACCGGACCCTCATCTGGGCCATTTGACAGGGAAAATGAAAGGGAGAGTGAGCGACCTTCTGCACAGGACAGTTCCCTGTATTTGAGTCTAGGCTCTATGTGCTGCTTCCCATTGTTTCCAGGGCCCTTCTTATGTTTCTCTTCTCTGTTGGTTTCTTCTGGTGAGGAGTAATAACACTAAATAACCATGTCGTTCTGCCCAGTCTCCATGCTGAATAGTCTATGAGCATCGCTCACATAACTTCTCACACCAGCCTTGAAGTTGTTATTCTTGTCATACAGTTGTCAGGATGGATTTGGAGATGTGACTTGCCTGTGCTTAGGTAATAAATAGGGAAGCCAGGAGGAACCTCTGAATGACTGTCGATGATGATAATAGTGTTTCCTGAGGTACATCCAGCATCTGGCCCTTTCCTTAATTCCTGCTCCTTTTTTTAAAAAAAGTGATTTCTGTCAGTGTACACTTTGATCTCCTCCCACTACCACCCAGCAATCTGCCAGGGATTAAATACTAACTCTTTGTAAGACTCTGACAATCGAGGTCACCAACAGTTTTGTCAGTTCTAGTATCTGTTTTACATCTTCTGTAGTCTTGACAGAACTAATGCTCAGTTATGGCTAGGAACTCTCCATTGTGTCTTTGACCCCCACACGCTGGGTACTTTTCTAGCACTCTCTTTCAGACATGTTGGTGATCTCCAGGGTTCATCTGTCTTCTCTACATTTTGTTCATGAAGTCACTCACTGTGGCCTGTACCCTATTTGAAGCCTCTATATACTATTGGTGGTTTTGTCTTGAGAATTTGATAGCAGTTCTAATGCTCACACTATACTCTGAAGTCTTAGATATTCTTATCCACTCCGGTAGTTCCAGCCACTGTGTCATGGTTTCAAAATATGTCCCTCACTTCCTTTATGTGCTGCCCTCATAGCTGATGATCTTTGGCCAAAAGAGTTTGTTGTGGTTCCCTAGAGCTCTCAGGGTAAAATAGAAACCTTTTAGCACAATCTGCCCCCTGCGTTTATCTTTCCTAAACTGTTTGCACAGCTCCATACTCTGTCCTTAGCCTGGGTTATCTCCCCCGCCACCCCGCCCCAGGTTGAGCCCCATACATACGTTTCCATATTATCTGTGATGTTTTGGGTCTTAGATTTATTGATCACTTCTCAGAGGACTTTCTCCAACCTCAAGACTTGAGTTAGTCACCCTCTGTATGCCCCAAAGCACTCTGTGCTTACTTTCTCCCATCCTCTGCAGGTCTCTTGAGTGTAGAAAACTATTTCATTCTTATGTCCTGTGTTTACACCACCATTCACAAAAAGATAAAGCAAAAAGTTAATGAAGTAGGTACTCTGTAAATGTTTAAATGTGTTATTTTCTTGCAAAATAATGATTTGAACATATCTGTAGCTTTTTGACTAATGAATGGAAGGATTTAATAAGCCGTTGTACAAAGACTAGTTATGTATCTTCCTGAGTGTTACCCAGAGAAATGGCTTAAACCTGATCTAGGATTTGGAATAGGGAGAACAGTACTGAATGGAGGTGAGCATGAAAAACTAGGCATATCTGAATGGGTGACATGAATGCGGTCACCCTCAAGAAAGATCTCTTTTACTGGGGCTGGAGAGATGGCTCAGGAATTAAGAGCACTGGATGCTCTTCCAGAGGACCCAGGTTTGATTCCCAGCACCCACATGGTGGCTAACAACCATCCATAGCTCCAGTTCTAGGGACTCTGACACCCTCTTCTGGCCTCTGGAGGCTTTGCCTGACACGTGTGCTTACATACATGCAGACAAAATTCATACACATAAAATAAAAATAAATTTTGAAAGAAATTTTAAAAAAAGAAAGATCTGTTTTGCAGAGAGCCTCTAAAAGAGTTTGCTCCCCCAAATAGGGAGTTGATACAGAGAGGTATCTGTATAAAGAAAATTTTAACCAGTTTGGAAGCAGACTGGTTAAAGGTCACCTTTTATTTTTTTTTCTCTCCACCTTTAAAGCTCCCAGCCAGGTACGGTGGTCCATTTCTATAATGCCAGTGCTAGGAAGGCAGAGGCAGAAGGCCCTCTTGGACCACATAGCAAGTTCCAAGCCAACGTGGACTGTACAGTGAGCTCCTGTCCCCACCTCTTCAAAAAGGGAGAATTCTGGGGTCACTTCAAGCTACAGTCATAAGGGATAGTGTCAAGGGATGGCAGTGCCCCCCTTTGAGATTCCAGATTTGGAAGTCTGGGTCTCTAGATGTGAAGTTGGAACAATAGTGCAGTAGTTCGGAGAATGTCAAATGTGCGAGTCGCTTACCAGGGCTGTTGGTTTGTAAAGAGTTGTGTGTTCTGGGAGGGCCCTGACCTCTTCTTAGTGGTAGCCAGTTGGGAGGTTTCTGCCCCTGCATTCATGTGACAGTAGGATGAGTTTGTGGCTCCACTGAGAGAGAATGTCAGCCAGGTATGGTGCACACATGTGTGATCCCAGCACTTCGGAGGCTGAAGCAGGAGGATGGCAACTTTAAGGCCAACCTGAGCTACGTAGGGAGTTCTAGGCTAGCCTGGACTTCATAACAAGAATCTTGTCTCAAAAAGAGAGGGAGGTAGGGATTTCATACTCAAAGGGAAGACAGTGGATGATGGGCTCAGTCTATTTTCTATGTCCATCTAGCCAGTGTGTAATGGATCTGTTTATTGCAGAGCATGAGCGAATGGAAACCATCTTTTCTTATGTCCTCGTGCCTAGTCAGGGTATTGTCCTTGTACCAACCTGTAAAGAGCAGAAGAGGTGCCCTCTGAAGCAAGTGGGAAGCCAATGATGAGGTGGTCTGTATACAGGGCTTGGGTCTACTACTCTATGAATGGAAGCTTCTGCCACAGGCACCCTGAGTTCAGTCCCCACCACCAAATAAGCCAGGCATAGTGGTACATACTTGTTATCCTAGGGCTCAGGAGTTGGAAGCAGAAGGATAGAAGTTCCAAGTCATCCTCAGGAACATACCAAGTTTGAGGCCAGCCTGGGCTACATGAAACCCTTTCTCCAAAAAAGAGCCTTGTAGGCCATCAAGATAGCTCAGTAGGTTATGGCAACCTAATGTGGTGACCTGAGTTCAATCTCCAGGACCCACATGGCAGAAGGAGAGTACTGACTCCACAAAATTGTCCTCTGACCTCCACACATGGACCATGGCACACAGACACAGAAACACACCCACACCATAAATGGATGGACAGACAGACAGATAGATAGATGGGGAAGCCATGCTGCAACAGCTAGCTCTTGTTTCATACTGTATTAGAAAGGTTACATGTAAAAATAGCCCTGACACTTGTCAGTGTACTTTTGTAGGATTGCTTCAGAGCTCCACTGTTGGATGTGTTTTTGGGTTGCTGATGTTGCCCTGCCTGTAGGAGAGGCATTCCAGCCTCAGATGGCATGCCCAGCAGGTCCACAAGTTCCTTTCAGTCCTAGACTGCTTGCCAGCGGGATACCATCAAAGTTAACTTGCTACCAGAGAGTGTCATCTTGTCATAGATGACAGGACTCATCTGTAGGGGATCTTCAACACTGATGTAAACAGCTTCTTAGAGCTCATCTGGCCTCCACTTCCCTATCCCCAGTCCTTAGCCAGCTTGCTGCCCTATATATGCTGTATTTCTAAATAATGAACTTGATTGTATCATGGTCTTGTTCAGAAATCTTTGGTGGTTCTCCACTGGTTAGAACATAAGTCTAGACTAGTCAGCATGACCGTGGTGTAGATGATCATCCTTCTGGCTACAAAACTGGGTCATTCCCACATGGCCCTTCCAGTGGGTTGTAGTGTGTTCTTATGCAGGGAGTGGAGCCTCTTTTCATTCCTTCCTGTAGCTTTATTTTTATTTCTCATTATTACTTGTCTGTATGTGTGCAGAGCTCAGAGGACATTTTGAAGGAGTGAGCTCTCTCCTTCCACCATGTAGGTTTTGGGGATCAAACTCAGGTCATCAAGCTCAACAGCAAGCATCTGTACCCACTGAGCCATCTCACAGCTTTATTAGGGCAAAGTGTCTTCTCCTTCCAACACTGTGACCGACTTCTGTGGGTGCTTTCCCAGTGCTCCTGTGGATTCTGTGCTTGAAATGCTTGTGGAATGCCCTGCCCCAGGTTTGCTTTATTACAGTGTAGTCTCAGCTGTGGTCTCAGGCTGTTGTAGGCTGTCAGGAGGCTGGTAGCAGCTTGACACTTGACACTGTTCCAAGCAGGAAATTAATAGGGGTTTCTATTTACAGTTTCCATCTAAGATCTTGTTCCCTTTTTACAAAAATGCTGTCTAAATTTACTGCAGATTGTTACTCCAATTTATGCATACTTATAGCCTCTAAGCTATAAGAATGGCCAGACTGACCACAGCCACTGTAATAGCAATATTTTTATTTCTCTATCCACAGCATGTACTGTTCTCCATTATTTTAAAAAAGCTGCTGTTTTTATTAATGGGAGTACATAGCGGACTGAAAGTTTGTAAGCAAATTTTTTAGAGCCAATTAAATAGCCAGGGGTGAACCTTTGCTGGTATGGATTCGTCTTCCACCTCTTCTAAGTGTCTCAGGGTGTCTCAGGGTTTAGGACGGTAGTTTAACCTTCAGTCCATTTCTTTTTATCTCAGTACCTGACACAGTTAGTATATGAATGTCAGTCTGTTCAGGAATCATCTCCCATACGGTTATTCTCATCTTCTGCCACTCTTCTCTATTTCTCTATTACCACACACTCAGAGAAGTATGTACGTATGAGAAGCCCGAGGCTGTGCACACACAGGTTAGACAGGATTGTAGTTCCACTGGGCACAGTTTGGGAACACTCCTTTTCTTTCACTCCCATCACCTCAGGATGAAAAGAAAAAAGGTTTTATTTAAAAACTTATGTGGCTAGAGAGTTGGCTCAGCAGTTAAGAGCACTTTCAGAGGACCCAGCTTTGGTTCCCAGCACCCACATGGCACCTAACAACCATTTGAAACTCCATTTTCAGGAGATCTGATTTCTTCTGACCTCTGACAGTACTGCATGATATGGGCACACTTACATAGATGCAGGCAAAGCATTTATTTATAAAATAAAAATAAGTAACATCTTTTAAAACAAGTAAGTTTGTCCTGGAGTTATGGCTTATGCCTTTAATACCAGCATTTCTGGGAGGCAGAAGCAAGCAGATCTCAGTGAGATTGAGGCCAGCCTGGTCTACGTAGTAAGTTCCAGGCCAACTGGGGCTATAGTAAGAACATGTCTTCAAACAAACAAACAAAATAGTAAATTTAAAAAAAACGTTTTTAAAAAAATTTGAGTTAATGTCTGTATTTTCTCTTTTCTAGCCATCCAAAATAAGGATTAATTTAGAAGAAAATGTGCAGTATGTATCCATGAGAAGTAAGTTAATCCTGAGTGAGTTTTGGGCTTTATAGTTTCACTTCACATGGCTAATATGTTTCATTTTTAAATGTACATGTAGATGAGAACTCAAGTAAGAGGTACTATTCAGAACTGAAGTATAAAGTTTGAAATTCTAAAAATATCTTGATATTATAGACTGCATCTTTCTATGCCGTTCCTAGCACCCTCCCCCATGAGTGTTCCTGATTCCCACTGCCTTGACAATTTTTCTTTCTTTCTTTCTTTCTTTCTTTCTTTCTTTCTTTCTTTCTTTCTTTCTTTCTTCATTTATTTATTTATTTATTTACTTTATTTTGGTCTTTTTTGAACTCCATGTGGGGTAGTATAAGTTTGCATTGATTCATGTGTGTGGAAGTCAGAAGAAAACTTGGAGGAGTTAGTTCTCTCCTTCCCCATGTGGGTCCCAAGGGATTGAACTCAGGTTGGCTGGATTGGTGG